CCCCGCCGCGAGCAGCGGGGTCGCGACAGACGAGCGGCCGCGACGGAGCGCGGGCTGGCCGTGGCGATCTTTCTGCTGCTGTCCTCCCCCGCCTGTCCCCGCTCGTTCTTTCCTCCCGGGGGGGGGGAATCTTTTGAAACTCGCCCCGAAGCCGGCTTTAGTTTAAGCTCAGCGTTGCAGGGCTCGGGTTCGCGTTGTTGGACCGGTGTGACTTAACTGTCGGGCCCCGTAGGGCCTCCCGGTACGCGCACACACACGCACAGGCACACGCACTCAGCGCGTACCCCGCGGAAGGTGTGTTAGGGAGCGCTCCCGCTGCCTGACGTGCAGGCGGCTGCCCCCGATGGCGGCGGCAAAGGAGAGGGTCTGAGGGGTCCCTCCCTTAAAACGGGCGCCTGGCCTCACAGCTGCGGCAGCAGGTCTGCCGCCTTAGACCCTTCTCACCTGCAGGCTCGTTTTGGAAACGAGAACTAGGCCCTGCTTCAGTAGAACTGGCAGGAACGTTGCCTCGATATTGGACCTTCCCTGGGAAAACGGGATTGACGCTTGATGCTGGCAATACCCGCCACAAACATACTCGGCTCGTCAGAGGACGCGCGCTGTTCTTCTGCTGGAAATGAGCATGTGCTTCTGGCCTCCTCTGTCTGTCACCTTTTTGCGTTAATAAATGTTTATCCCTTCCTTGAGAGGTGGATGAGTCCCAAATCTGCCTCTGCAAAAAAAATTCCACCTCTTTGCGGCTTATTAAGAGTCCAGCCCCTCAGCGCCGGAGGCTGACATTCAGCTCCTCAGTTCCGGAGCTTAACAAACACAGCAAAACCTGTCCACCGCCAGTTTTGTCCCCCTCCCGCCCCGAACTGAGAAAGCAGCTAGTCCTTTGACACGGTGTTACCCGGGGCTCACTTCTGCCAAGAAGAACGGAGCTGTTGGGAGAGGTCACCGGCTGACCCCATGCCACCTGCAGGCAGCATTGAAACAGCTGGCAAACGGTCGCCACGCTGCCTGCTGTCGGGTACACGCCAGGGGTGTCTTCTTGCAGCCTCTTGCCGGTGAGGCAAGCACCTCACGGAGACGACAGCCGGCACGGACGGGCTCGGGAGAAGGATGCTGCGGGGTGGCCACGCCTTTCTCCCCCAGTCTCAGCAACCCCAAACCGGCACGTAAGGGATTTCGCGGTGCAGCTTTCTCCCTTTAGCTAACGACTTTGGAACACAATAGCTCAGCAGCAACAGTACGGAACTGCTCCTTCTTTAAAAAACAAACAGAGATATTCCTACGGATGTGTTTGTCACGCATGCTGACCCACGGCCACCTCAGCACGGGAGGCGGCGGTGCCAGGGAAGGTGGTCGGAGGTGGTCGGAGGCGGGGTGCCCAGCCGCTGCCCCCGAGCGTGCGGGGCCGGGGCGGCCGATCCGGCTGGATCTTCTTGTCAGCTCCAGAGCCCTCGCTCAGCCCGGTGCGGTAAACGGTCAGCTTCTCTTTGGAGAAGCGTGCGCAACTTTAAAGGAGGGTTTTCCTTTCCCTGCCTTTCCTGTCTGGGAGCAGAGCTGGTTCGTGGACAACCGTGAAGAGTTCGTGGCAAGATAACGTATGACTCAGCCAAGTGCGAGGGCCCTTGGTTGCCCTGAAATAGCACTTGGCAACCCCCGGAGAGAAAGGGCAGAAGAAATACTTAGAGCATATTTGTGCTATTGGCTTTCAGCTCTAAGGCATTTCTGTGTGATCTTTCACTTGGGTTTTTCTGTTGTTCTCGGTGTGCAGCTGTGTAGATAACATCCTTGTTCTGCTCTTTGTTAGACGTTAACTGGAACTAGGCTGAGCAGAATGAGGCATATGGTAATGGTGGGCATGCCCCTTATGTACCCAAAGAGCCAGGATCTCATGGCGGAGTAAGAAGGATCTTTCAGTTACACTGATCCTTGAATCGGGGGACACAAATGCCAAGCTATTTATTCCATTGACAACTGGGATAAATTGTGATCCTGACCGTGAAAGACCTCACTGCTGCTGTCATCCAAGAGACCCTATTGTCAGTTTTACAATGCTAACATGATTCCCCTTGGTGAAACCGGTCAGTGTGAGTTCTCTTGCTTGTAACTCCTCGGCTTTTATCTGTGTGTAATCTAGCTTCCCAGCCTCCAAATCCGATCCTGCAAAAAATTAGCCCTCAGCCATGTGCCGGTTGCTACGCAGCCCTTTGTGTTAAGCTGCCCTGAAAGGACAAATGTCCTTAGATTGAGATTCATGTTAATAATTACATGATGTCATTCAGGTTATTTGACCACAGCATCCTTCAGAATTGAGCGATTTTTATTGCTTTGGTTAGAAATCTTTTTTTGGAGGGGGGGAGGAAAGAGAGTGAATTTTTTTCATTCTGTTTTGTTTTTTTTTCCCTAGTACCTCATCTGTCGCTGAATAGAATGTACTGTAGTCTTAAGTAAAAATTAAAGCTAATGGAAAAAGAGTAATTTCATGTAGAGAAAGAGAGGGAAACTAAACTGCCTCCATGTGGGCCTACTGTCTTTTGATACATTTAAATAGTTAAATTTCGGCATATTTGGAAAGAGATCCGTTCCTTTTTAGGATGATGAGTAGTCCCAAAATAACAAGAATAATTACTGTCAGTTTTAGATGGAAAACCAGTTTTCCTTGCTTTATATGCACATGGCTGTAGGAAGCTTTGATGTATAGCTCCAGTCAAACACGTAAACTCGACTATTTGCTTAAACTCTGTACAAGGGTGCTGGCAATTTTAGAGGACAAATTGTTTGAAGGCAGCATAACAATAGAGACGTGGCAGGTTAAAAATTAATGCAAAATCAGTAAATTGGCCCTGAAGCCGTAAGAGTTCAGATGCAAGAGAAGGGAAAGTTAATCTGGAGTAAGAATAGTCAGCCACTCAAATGGAGAGCCTAAGCCTGGCATATTGCAAATATTTGGATTTCGGTATGCTATTATATAAGCTCTCCTATAAAATGGAAGAATAGAATGAAAAAAGATAATATGCCCCCCCGTCCCCCAGGCCTTCCCAGCCTTTTCCAGTCAGATCTTGTAAAATAACCTGGTGACTGACCTACTTTTACAAACGCCCCCTTAAGTGATTTGGCCGTAGGCACACAAGGGGTTACTAGTAGAGCCAGGAATAGCACCAGCAAATCCTGACTCACTGTTTGCCACTGATATGTTTTCTCCCAGAGTCTAACACCATTTGAACAAGAATTTGACTCCTATTTTAGTTGTGGCACAAGAAACGAGAACTTTATTCTTTCTTCTGCATGCGGAATAGCGCAGAAACAACCGCTTAGCTCTGGAGGGACTGAAGCGTGTATTTCATTGAGCTTTTGCTTTAGCAGGGACCTGACCCTAAAAACTACCCTTGCAATCCAGGCAGTGAAATTGAAACGCTCCTGTGTCCAGCACTCTCTATTTGGTATAGGGCCTTTTGGAGAAAATGTGGGGCATGCTAGCGTGATGTAATGGTTTTACAGAGTTCAGGTGTTGGAGGAGG